AAAACTTTAATATAAGTTTAACATAACAGCAAATGTACGACGTTTCGACAAGGTACATGATGATGACAAAACCTTGTCGAAACGTTGTACATTTGTGGTTATGTTAAACTTATATTAAAGTTTTTCTCCATTACCCATTCAAGCCGTCTCCAACCATTAATAGTTGAGATTTGAGTTAAACAGGTGTCAAACAGGTATAAATCACATAATGACATTAGAATTAAGTAAAAGTCAAGCAAGAGAGGTTAGAGATATAGCTTCGACAGAAATGGCACAGTGTAATCTAAAGTATTTTGTTTTTTATATTTCTGGAGAATTAAACGTAAAAATACTATAAACCACACATATATACTCAAGTCATTCAGAAATAATGTATTTCGTACTTATTAAGGTATTGGTATTTATAACCCGAACGGCACCTTAGTTACACATAGGCTAAACGGCTATATCAGAGAACCCTACGGTTCAGGTATAGTTGTACTTAATTTTGAGCTACTGGCTAGAGGGAAGGCAGCCAGTCAGCAGCAACAGCTGAAACAGAAATTATAATATCTTCTGAATTGAATAATAGGACTGACATAATGTCTGTTTACAAAATACTAACTTTAAACAGACTCATACTAATACTATCTGTGAGCCGCTGGTTAATAACTCCAACAATGTGAACACGTACATTGAGCTCTCTCCTAAAATAGATTCTACTAGTGACTCCACTAAGTTAGTCATTTCTGCATCTGATCGACTCAAATCCAAGAACACTTCCAATGTCGTCAATCTGTCCTCTAAAACACTAACTGAAGCTCAACACAAACTTCTCAGTAAAGGTATTAATTTTTCTTCTACCCCTAAAAACGTAGATAGCTTTTAAGTCATTTCCAACCTCCAAGAATTTGCACGCAGATTAAGACTCCGAGAATTTTTCACAATCAAACCACTGAAATAAATAATTTCAACTCACAGTTTAAAGAAAAATACTTCTGATCACTCCCAGCTAACAGGGAATCACATCTAGAGAGTTTTATTAGTGCAAGTGAAAATGAAGTAATTCAAGCCATTAACTCTGACTCAAAAGTTCGAAACAATCTCTCCTATAGTAAACACTATGCTCTAATTTAACTGAAACGTGAAAATGAAATCATTATTAAACCAGCTGATAAGGGTGGAGCCATTGTAATTCAAGATAAAACCGACTACATCAACAAAGCTTACCGACAACTTAATGAAACAAACCACTATAAAAAGGTAGATTTGGACCCCACACCACAATTTGTTAAAATTATCGAAGATATGCTATATATTACGGAAAAGCCAACACATCAGTCATGACACTTTACAGTTCTTTTCACCTAAACGCCCAGTTCCAGGTCGCTTTTACATGTTACCAAAATATACAAACCCAACAGTCCTGGTCGTTCTATTATCTATAATTGCAGTATGCCTACTGAAAACGTATCTGCTTATGTTGATCACTACATCAAAGATATCCCCCTCCCACGTTTGACGTCGTACATTAAAGACACAACACATTTTCTAAACATGATCTCTGACATTAACAGCAACGGAAAACTTCCTCCAAACACTATTCTCTGTACTATCGATGTTTCTTCTCTCTACACAAACATTCCCCACGACAAAGGCCTAAAATCCCTAGATTATTCTTTTCTAAAAATAGACAAACCCAACACTCAAATTATTACAGACTTAGCTGAGCTAGTACTTACACTTAACGGTTTTGAATTTTATAATGCATTCTATATTCAAACAAAAGGCACAACAATGGGCACCAAGATGGCACCAAACTCTGTCAACATTTTTATGGGAGACGTAGAGACGAAACTGTTGGCGACGCTACATTGATGACAGTTTTCTTCATTTGAGTAGGAGACGAAGGTTCATTACTGTCTTTTTATAGACATGCTAACACCTTCCACAGTTCTATTAACTTTACTCTATATTACTCCACTACCCATATAAGGTTATTGAATGTAAACCCAACATTAAAATATGGTGTTCTACATACCGAATTGTACCGAAAACCAACGGATAAACCACAATATTTACATAATCGAAGCTGTCACCAAACACAATATCACATTCAATAAAGTACTTAGATTAAAGAATATATGCTCTGACAGTAAGATTAATTGACCGTCACATTAATTCTTTGAAACAGGCTATGCCTGTAAGAGGTTATAAACAAAACATTATCACCCTACAACTTGACAAAGCTAACAATATACCACGTGAATCAGCCTTGAAACAATTACCTAAAACCATTACTTCTCGTGTTCGACTGGTTATTACCTAACAGCCAAAAACTAGAAAACCTACCCTGGATACTAAAAAAACACTTTTACCTCCTTCATTTTAATTATCGAATAAAATCTATTTTTAGAGAAGTTCCTGTCGTTTCTTTCAGAAAAATAAAACTTTGCATTCACACTTAGTTCACGCTAAAGTAAACTTTAAGTCGACACCAGGTGAAAGTCATTCTTGCAATAGCAAGCGTTGCCAAACTTGTAAGTTCATGCAGGAAATGGACACATTTTTCGATAAAGACAACCAAAAGCAGTTCAAAATCAATAAACACATAACCTGCTCTACAAAAAATGTTATTTACTTAATCTAATGTCGAAAATAGAGCTTCTAATATGTAGATCAAACCAAAACAACTATACTGGAACGTTTTAATAACCACAAATCAACAATCAAAACAAACAAAGAACTCCCGGTCGCAAAACACTATAACATGCCTGGACATTCTCTTGAAGGCATTACTCTGACCAGTATAGAGACAAATTTTACATCTAACAGAAACATGGATATTAAAGAAGCTTACTGGATAGCACTGTTAAATACTGTAACAACAGTAATCTCAAACCCGGAATTGTTGACCTTTGCAAGTTTCTGAAATGATATTCAAAACGAAATTCATAATTAAACTTACTTTTCATTATTAATATTATTATTCTTGCTCAAATTTCTCTATATTGGTATAATTTCTCTATATTGGTATAATTTCTCTATATATTGGTATAATTTCTCTATATTGGTATAATTTCTCTATATATTGGTATAATTTCTATATATTGGTATAATTTCTTATATATTGGTATAATTTCTCTATATTGGTATAATTTCTCTATATATTGGTATAATTTCTCTATACTGGTATAATTTCTCTATATATTGGTATAATTTCTTATATATTGGTATAATTTCTCTATATTGGTATAATTTCTTATATATTGGTATAATTTCCTATATATTGCGTCGCATGATTATTTTCTCTCTTTCCCACCACCTTTTACCGTTATTTTATTGATTATTTTATTTTATTTTTATTTGATCTTTATAGAAATTATTTAACAATTATTATAACTATCCCACTATTATTATTATTCTTATAACTATTAGCCTTTTATGTACTTTACACACCTCTTTGGCACAAAATAAACCTGACACAAACATCTCGAGGTTATGATTGGCTAGTTCTCAAGGCCAACTCATATTAAACATCCGTGTCTATGTGTCTCATTACATTCATTAAACATAACCCTTTATTCTCCTGAAGAAGAATAGTCAACTATTTGAAAGCGCTTGAGTTTGAGTCTCGTTTGAAAACATTACAACACGAATGACTGTTACTCTTATAAGTACCAACAGCTGTTAATGCTAATCGTGTTTAGCGGCATCAGCACGTGTATGAGCTTTGGATTTTCAGATCCGTTGTAGGTATGCTTAGCATTCAAATGTTTCAGAACAAAACAGTATTTATTGAACTTTCATCTAACAAATAGTTAGCGGCAACATATTATTTGGTTAAAAGGCACTATGATTACTTAACTAATCAATACACTGACTTTGTATACAAGACCAAAATTCAATGCAAAGAAAATTTTCACTTGATGGTATAAACTCACCTTATATATTATCAATACCACTCGAGATATTAAATGCTTTTGTTTGTTGTTAAGTGCTCTACACATCGTGGGTATCGAAACACGATTTTGAGCGTTAACAGCTCTCAAACTTACCATTAAGCCATTGGAGGGCAATATTAAATAAAATTATCTTTATATACATGGTTATATAACTATCAGGCGCAGAGAAAGATAACTGATTAAAACTAATTACTCTTTGCAATTACTAATTGCACATCTCCATCGTTTAGAGTTTCTAATGGTTTGATAAAGGTGTAAGTAGAATGTTTATCATAAACGACATTTTTACCCCATCCCATTATGACTACTATTCCATAGAAATAAAATATAGCAACAAAAACGAACATTTATAGCGTTTTTTTAGCTAAGGAATGTTTGCTCAAAATACCCATCATTGCTGGCGAGGATTGATTTTTTTAAAGGTTCACTTGTATTTGAGTTGAAATATTAATTTTGTATGCTTTTAAGCACCTCATTATAATCGTATTAAGAAACATTACTTTTAAGTTGACCTAAACTACGTCCCTCAAGTATTGAGCAACAGCATTTCAAACGATCTGCTCATTCGTCTTGCCAGAAGACCGCTATTTTTCATAAGATTTTTATAGACGTAGGATTTACGTCCTGCTGCGTGGATAAAAAAATCCACAATTTACCTCAAATGATTGGTCTGTAGAATATAATCTGTTTACTAGATGAATATTATGTGCAGAATAACCCAAGTAGGAGATGTCAGTAACTGCTTGGTCACTTATTAAGTTATCACACAATCTTAGCTTCACGTCTTCTATTTATGACGACATCCTTTCCAACTATATCATTAAATAATAGATCATACAGAAACTTATATTATCATAGGTCTTTACTGTATGGCACAAACTACAAAAAAAAGCCAGTGTAAAAGTTGATCAATATTAGTTAAAGGTCTTGTAAAAAAAGATCTAGCTGACGACAGATTTCAAACATTCAAAGAAGAAATATGAACGAAGTTTTCAGTGAAATTATATATTGTAGCGTGAAAATGCATGTAATAAAACGACTTTTGCTACGAACAAGTAACACGTTTAAGGCACATAAAGTTTCTTGTAAGATAATCCAAATGAAGTTCTGACACCGATGAAAAATATACTATGACTGTGCTTGATCCGTTTATCACATAATCTACTGTTGTCTACATCCTTTCCAATCCTTTTTATAAAGAAGCCCATAAAGTATTTCGAAAGCGAAGGGAATTTTAAGACTATTTTCTTTGAAGACGGAATTTGGTTTTAGATAAAATATAAAGATAAAATAAAATAATACTATACCTCTATTTTTCTTCATCTATTTTCCAACAAAAAACTTTAATATTTTCTTGGTGGATTTGATGGACCGAGCGTGGCCCAGTGGTTAGCATGCCCGACTAGGGATCTGATGCGTCCATTGCTTGTGTCCTGTTATCGTAAAAAAAAAAGAAAGAAAAAACGCTCTCCACACTTTCAGGCCGTGGGTGCATTATAACGGTCAAATACCACCATTCTCTCTGATAAGAATAGCCAAAGAGTTGGCAGTAAATGCCGTTGACTAGCTGCCTTCATTCTAGTATATCACTTCAAAATTAGGGATAGATAGCGCAGGAAGCCTTTGAGTAACCTTTTGCGAATATCCGGTAACAAACAAATCAAATTTATTTGACTTTAAGATTTATTATAAAAGGTTTGTAAACATACTTTGTCGAAAATACATTATGTATAATGTAATGTAGACTAAAAGGTCACTACACAGTTATCTGTAGTACTAACACAACTAATACGAGCATTCTCACCAACTTCCATATGTTCTTTGACAAAGAGTAACTCAACTCCTTTTGT